CCGCCGTGCCCAGCATTGAATTTGGAAAGACCCATTTGAGACAGATTTGCAGTCGTTTGGGAGTACAGCCTTCGTTGATGCAGTACAACATACGAAAATGAGGATTCCTTCAGCGGTCCAGCGAACATCATTAGATTAATTATCGAGCGTTGATCATTCCGAGGACACACACGTTTCGAAAGCCGCGCTGCTCTGCTTGGATCATAGAGTCTCGCGACACTTTCTTTCCAATAACTTTGACTAGACGTTTCCCGGGAGGCGCAGACAAGTGCTTCTCTGATAGTACTGTCTGTAATTTTCTTCCTTGAATAGGGGTACTCTCATCTTCGTTATGAAGCCCACGTTATCTTTGCCGTAAACATGGCATTTCGCAATATGCACTGATCGTCTGAAGATTTCAGCAGCTCAGGGCGTATTGAATGACGTTCTGAAAGGTTTTGGCTTTCAACATGGACACTAAATCAGCTCAGAATTTTAGAATGTATTTGAGGTAGACCTGGTTACATTAGAATTTTCATCAAGCGCGCTATGCCTATTGGAGCAGGGTCGCTACGTCCGGGTGAGTGGAGTGGGGCGGGTGGGGGCTTCCAGTGGTGACGTTCTTTCATCAATTTATCATTTTACAAGGACTCACAGCCCAGTTTCCTCCAGCCGCATGACCTTTGGTCTGCCAAATAGCAGGAGATCATGTGCCTGCTAGTTTCTGTTCCGGCTTCATGATCACGCGTTGAAGCAAAAACAGGAGACGAAGGAAATTCAATGCGAGCAATCGCTCAACGATGGTCATATTCGAAACGCATCTATTGCTCCATTCGTTCGTTTCCATTCTGCGAATCCATCACGGCAAACAATTCGTTCTATCATCATATGTAATGACGCTATCCCATATCGATGCAGCAATGCTCGTGTAAAAACTGGCGGTAAAAAAGATGCAGTTTGATGACTCACGCTTGTCACTTTGCAGTACCATTTAGCTGCTTAAGTGAAGAAGAAGGGTGATTCATCACGATGAGTCAATGAACAACAGGATGACATACTGTCTGACATAAAAATAGCTAGCATAGGAACATTAGAATTAGCATTGAGGGTGCCGTGTCTTGAATCTTTATTTGAAAGCATTTTTCATAAGCCTGTTCGGATAGGAGTATGAACTACTTCGCACAGACATGATGCTCCACTGGCAACCAATGATTGATGGTGTGCCATACACATATCCGTTTAGTGTCCGCTGAGGAGATGAAAGGGTAGGTAGTATGCGTGTCATTTTCAGCTCACGTCATAAGGACGTACGTGTCTTATGATATTTCATATCACAGCGTCAGCAGGAAGTTGTCGGCCATGGCGGTGTTGTTAGTTAAGTCGAGTCAAACATTCATGTTGCTTTGGAAGAGGAAGGCCAATTGCCGGGTTTGATTCCCATTCACATAAAAAGTGCTCTCTTAATAACTTCCCATTGCCTTGAATAACAGTTTATCATTTTGCTTCAGAAAAGTCGGCCAAGGCACGGGTAGCAAGTCGCTGATATGTAATCAGTACAATAGCATGGTATTCTGATATGATATGCAGTAATGGACAAAGACTACTGTCACGCTGTTTAATGCGAGCGGATCCATGGGTCGCCATCTTCAGAACAAATATGAAGATCACCTACCAATTAAAGACTTATCAACATGGTCTATATAGCCGGCTTGCATCCTTTGATAAGGTTGAAGAGAAATAACGTTTACAGGTTCTACTGTTGAGTTGAATGGCGTCCGCTTGTAAAACATCACTAGAGAAAACTGCGAGGCGGATTTCCCAAAAATGACTGATCGTTTTTTATAACGAAACTTATTTGACACATGATCGTAGGTGTCCTTGATCACTCGCTTGCTGAAAAAATATTGCCCTGAACTCTGCTGCACTCACTTTACGTTACCTCAAATAAATGGAACACGGGGGTACTAACGAACTAGTTCCGATATGTCTCATATCATCAGGATTATGGGTGCTGGAAGGTTTTCTGTAAAGGAATGTCGTCCATAATCTTCTGGCCTCCAAAACGAAAAGTTAGAGGGGAATGTTCAGTAGCAAATGATGTCTTTAGCCAAATACTAGATGTTAGGCTGAAGTCACTGGTCCACCCTTATGACTGACATAATTAATCGGCGCAGCTTTGGTGTACAGAGAGGAGATTAAGAAAAATCAATTGCCAGAGTACACTCTCAGCGTCTGTGAACACCAGCAGTGGAGTAACACAAAACGGAGACAGCTCGCTGGGGTATATAAATGAAACAGCATGCTCCAGCGGGTCACTGATTATGAAGCGGTTAAGAGCTACATGACAGTTGTCATTGGCATATCTATCCTAATGTCGATTATAATTGCGGCTGATTTTCTCTACCAATCCCTGTAATCATGACGGCTACTCACAGGCCCTGAAACGTTGAGTAACAGGCAACTCACCAGTAGATAGCATTAAGTGAACCTCTCATAGTTCATTTAGCAATAAGACACTACTGCCGTTATTGTTCAAAGAAAGATTGGTATTGTGAAGCATTAAGCTTGCTCTCATGAGGTTTTACCCTCTGTGTGAAAAGGGTCATGCTTCTTGTCAGTATTCTTTACCACTAAACGGTATTCATCCATTATTGACTTTCGAACGTACAATGCGTCTCCCACATTTGTGATGACATCCAAGTATTTCGTTCTGTCATCCTCATGCATTTATCATTTATTTCCTAAGTAACTGTTGAACGAGTGACTGGAAATCAATGGAGATTTTAGCATTTGCTATCGAACACTTGTCATTTTTTATAACTGAGAGAACAGGATGTTTTTTGTCTACAGCTCCTTGGTAGACGAACGAGCAACATAAAAACCAAAATCACCATGTTAAAATGATCTTCGGTTCTCTGTCCTCAGTTTAAACTAGACTAAAATACTACCTTAGCGTTACAAACAGAAAGACATACGGAGCATTTGGAATATAGGAAATATTCCTTCCTGAGAGCTGGTTATGTGTATGAGATCGAAGTTCTGTCTTCTCTCAGTGGAAACTTCCAGTGCTAGTTTATGGATACGAAAGAGAGACCCTGCGTTTGAAATATGCCCACAGACTACGGACAACGCCATGCATCATTCAAACGAATATGATCAGAGTGATCAGCAAAAACAAAAAGACGAGCGAATGGACAAGAGCAATCACACGAGTCTGTGATTTCATTGCACCGGTCAAGAAGTTGAAGTGGCGATGGGCAACGCATGCCGGAAAACGAACGGACCATTGCTGCATCAATCACACATTGCATTGGGTTCCAAGAGAAGTGATCGGACAGCAGGAAGGAAGATCTGATGATCAGTGCCAAGGTGAGCTGATGAAATTTGGTGAAGCAACGCGGAGAAGAACTGCAGGAGACAGAATTTTGATGCTAATTCTTAGAGGAAGCCGTCATCCAGCAGTGGTTCGGATGATGGTGACAACGAGACGAAGAAAACGATAATGATGGTGATTGATTGATCATAATTACTTTCGGCATGTATAAAATGGAGACGTTGTACGCAGGAATACATTATGAACATCAATAGTAAGCGCGGAATTTTTTTTACAGTGCATGGCACCATCGCTTGTTTCATTCTAGCACCTTCTGAGCATACATGCATCTCGTATCATTGTAACTGCTACAAGAATGGCGCGCAAACAATGGCTGCGCCAGTGTTTTGAAGGAACCGGCTTCTTTGCATACCATAGAGCCATGATCCGCCTAAATGGACTTCTAGATATTTAATGTCAGTAGAGCGGTTCTAATGCC